CCACCTTAGGTGTACGTGGCTGGCGCCTTAGCCGCTTGAGCCACAGGCGCTGAGCCCCGGATATTTTCTTGTTGCAGTTGTCATTGTTTAGCTGGCCCGGCTCGACTCAAACCCTCCAGCCTCGATGCATGTGGCTGGCACTATGCTATGGGTGCCACGCCAACCTTTGGCACTTTCTAATTCTGTGCTTCTACTGGATTCCTCAGTGACTATATGTTGGAGATACCTGATCTTTTCTTGTTAACGTGTAAATCACAGAAACTCATTGAATACAAGTGAAACTCTTTTGAAATTCAATTTGAATATAGCCTTCAGTTACTGTTATGTTGGAAATTATATTTATAGGGACATACCCATTGTTACATGTCATATATACAGTACTCACACCATTCATCTTATGCCATTACTGGTGGCTGAAATTGATAAAAAGACTGCAGGGAGACCTGGGAATGACAATGAATTAGGTTCCCAAGATATTTCAGGACTCCAAGTAGCAAAGGAAAGAGCTGGCTATTGAACTGGGGGGTAAAGATAGATTATATTAAATCTGAGTTCTGAAAGGCGTCCCTAATATTTACCACTCTTGGTTTTCACAGGATTCAGAAGAAGAAAGAGAAGGGGAAGAAGAGGAGGAGGAGGAAGGAGATTCTAAGGCAGATGATCCCTATGCTCACCTTAGCAAAAAGGAGAAGAAAAAGCTGAAGAAACAGGTATTACTTTGGTTCTTAGTGGTCAAAAGTAAAGGAATTTTTTATGTCAACTAGGGGACATGTGATTATGTGAGGGAAAGTAGAGCTTTAGGGGCTACAATTGGAGTAAGGAAAGAATTGCATTTTGTGAGCCTTGTCCCAGTGTCTTATGACATGAACTGTATCTTGGGGTTGGGTAACTGGTAAACTATGGCTTCACACAGCTTTTTCTTTGTTCTTAGATGGAGTATGAACGCCAGGTGGCTTCATTAAAAGCAGCCAATGCTGCTGAAAATGACTTCTCCGTGTCCCAGGCAGAGGTGTCCTCTCGCCAAGCCATGTTAGAAAATGCATCTGACATCAAGGTAAGGTCTGAAGGGGATCCTCTTGACCCCCTAGTTTAGAGAAGAGCTAGTTTTCTTATTTTCCCTGAGAGCTCTGGCAACCAAAGTGGGACATGATTGGGGAGGGAAAATTGAAGTTATTTTCCACACCATGGGACCTGCCTTGAGCAAGAAAATAGGAGGGAAATAGCGTGAAATAGATTTAGGTCGATTTAGGATGTGGGAGCCTCTCATTAGAGGCAGTGGACAGGAAAAGGGACTGGCTCTGGTGAAAGGAAGGGATTATACTGGGTATTGCTTTGTCAGAGGCTTCCCTTTAGGGAGGAAGTTGCAGCTTGTGTCCCAAAAAAAGAATTCTCGGCTCGGCGCCTGTAGCTCAAGCCGCTGAGGCATCAGCCACATACACCTAAGGTGGCGGGTTCGAATCCCCAGCCCGGGCCCGCCAAACAACAATGATGGCTGCAACCAAAAAATGGCCAGGCGTTGTGGCGGGCGCCTGTAGTCCCAGCTACTTGGGAGGCTGAGGCAGGAGGCTCGCTTGAGCCCAGGAGTTGGAGGTTGCTGTGAGCATGATGCCATGGCACTCTACCCAGGGGGATAGCTTGAGGCTCCGTCTAAAAAAAAAAAAAAAAGAAAGAAAGAATTTTCATGTGCTTGTTTCTTCCCTCTGCCGCCCCTTCCCTGATGGCTGCAGCTGGAAAAGTTCAGCATCTCGGCCCATGGCAAGGAGCTGTTTGTCAATGCAGACCTGTATATTGTTGCTGGCCGCCGTTATGGGCTAGTAGGACCTAATGGGTGAGGAGAGGAGGGGGCTGAGGTATAAAGGGGGAAGGGCCTGGAGGGAGAAGAAAAGCTTTCTCAGTGGTGACCTTGTCCTAATAACTTTTATTCCCCAGCAAGGGCAAGACCACCCTCCTCAAGCACATCGCCAACCGAGCCCTGAGCATCCCTCCCAACATTGATGTGTTGCTGTGTGAGCAGGGTGAGGCCAGAGGGCAGAATAGGGGCTTGGTGGTTAGACACTTGGGGTAGAAGAGCCAGCCAATAATGGGAACAATGGAAGCAGGGAGAGACTGAGCGCTGGAAAAAATGGGCTAAAGAAAGGAAGGGAGAACAAAAGAGGGGCTTGAAAATGTTTTATCTGGAACAAGTGCAAAGAGCTGGGTGGGATGAGGCAAACCAGAAATGGAACTTTTAAGGAATAAGGAATGAAACTCTTGGTTTTTGAGGCTAAGTGTTCTCCTTCTACCCCCAGAGGTGGTAGCAGATGAGACACCAGCAGTACAGGCTGTTCTTCGAGCTGATACCAAGAGATTGAAGCTGCTGGAAGAGGAGCGACGGCTGCAGGGACAGCTGGAACGGGGGGATGACACAGCTGCCGAGAGGCTAGAGAAGGTAGAGGAGATGGTACAGGGTTACAGGCTAAGACTTGGGTGTTCTTGGGGCCCTTGAATATATGTCCTCTTCTCTCTCCTTCCAGGTGTATGAGGAATTACGGGCTACTGGTGCAGCAGCTGCAGAGGCCAAAGCACGACGGATTCTGGCTGGCCTGGGTTTCGACCCTGAGATGCAGAATCGGCCTACACAGAAGTTCTCAGGGGGCTGGCGCATGCGTGTCTCCCTGGCCAGGTGGGCCATCCACATCACTACCCTCCCTTTCAACCTTGACCACCAGGGCCCTTTTCCTTCTTTTCCCATTCTTTCAAGCCTAGTGGGGAAATTCAAGGCCAGCTTCTCCTCCTCACTATTTATATTGTGAGAATTCAAGGTCTCGCTCCATTTTTCTCCCTACCTGGTGGTATATGTTCTCAGGAACATCTCTGAGGAGAGGTTGGACAGGAGTTTTCATAGATCCAGGCTTCTCTCAGAGGCTTCCCCTGAGGTTCTCTGAGGAAGGATCTTCCATCTCCTGACCCTACACTCCGTTACCCCACTTTATAGGGCACTGTTCATGGAGCCCACACTGCTGATGTTGGATGAGCCCACTAACCACTTGGACCTCAATGCTGTCATCTGGCTCAATAAGTGCGTTGCCCTTAATTACAATGTTTGTATCATTTGTTCGCAGTCTGCTTCCTTCCCCTTCCCTTTCTGCCCTCCTTCCCTTTAGTTCTCCACCCTGTCCTTGACAGCTCTCTATCCAGACCTTTTTGTTTCTCTCCCTGCCACTTCGTCTGCTTCCTTTGACTTCACTTCACCGTTGTGACATTCTCACACTCTTCTCTGAAACCCAGCTACCTCCAGGGCTGGCGGAAGACCTTGCTTATCGTCTCCCACGACCAGGGCTTCCTGGATGATGTCTGTACTGATATCATCCATCTCGATGCCCAGCGGCTTCATTACTACAGGGGCAATTATAGTAAGTACGATCGTATGTGGGTGGAGGGAAAAGATGGAGCCTCAAAAAGAGGCTCAGAAGTAAGGGAGAGTCCATTTAGATGTTTAGAAAAGCTAGATCTTGGGTGGTGCCTGTGGCTCAGCAGGTAGGGCGCCAGTCCCATATACCTGGAGTGGTGGGTTCGATCCCGGCCCCACCCAAACAGCAACAAAAAAATAGCTGGGCATTGTGGTGGGCCCCTGTAGTCCCAGCTACTTGGGAGGCTAAGGCAAGAGAATCACTTAAGCCCAAGAGTTTGAGGTTGCTGTGAACTATGATGCCACAGTGCTCTACCAAGGGCGACATAATGAGACTCTCTGCCTCAAAAAAAAGAAAAGCTAGATCTTGTCAGAATTCTGACAGTGATGCCCACCCCCATCCTCACCAGTCCTTGTTCCTCTGCTGGGAGAGGAGCAACCATTGATGCCCATTCCATTTTTTCTGCAACAGTGACCTTCAAGAAGATGTACCAGCAGAAGCAGAAAGAACTGCTGAAGCAGTATGAGAAGCAGGAGAAAAAGTTGAAGGAGCTGAAGGCAGGGGGCAAGTCCACCAAGCAGGCAGTGAGCACAGACGGACATCCTGGACTGGGTGTTGCTTTTCTCTTATGACAGTGGAGGAAAGGGGGACTCTGGGAAGCTAGCTTGCATTTCAGGGAATTCTGTGCAGGGTGTGAATTTTTCCCTTTTTTCTTCTTCTTTAGGAGAAGCAAACGAAGGAAGCTCTGACTCGAAAGCAGCAAAAGTGCCGACGGAAAAACCAGGATGAGGAATCCCAGGAAGCGCCTGAGCTCCTGAAGCGCCCCAAGGAGTACACTGTGCGCTTTACTTTCCCCAATCCCCCACCACTCAGCCCTCCTGTGCTGGGTCTGCATGGTGAGTGCCACAGATTCCCAGCATAAGCATGTGCATCCCGACTTCTCCACCAAGGCTGGGGCTGTTCCTTTTCTCAAAGCCCAGGACATCAGGGAGACTTTGAGGGGCACTGAAAAGAATATAAATTGCTTCTTTTCCTGGCTCTCAGGTGTGACATTTGGCTATGAGGGGCAGAAATCGCTCTTTAAGAACCTGGACTTTGGTATCGACATGGACTCAAGAAGTAAGTTGTCAGTGGTTCAGGGATGTGGAGCAGGAGCCATAGCAAGAGTCTCTGAGCACTTGTTAGTCTGACAACGTATCTTCCTTCTCACAGTTTGCATTGTGGGCCCTAATGGCGTGGGGAAGAGCACTCTCCTCCTGTTGCTGACTGGCAAGCTGACACCGGTGAGTCGTGCAGCCAGAAAAGAGCATGAGAAGTCTGAAGACACAGTTGCCCACCAGAGGCTAGAATCAGGGAGCTTTTCAGCTGTGGAGAGTTAAATACAGAAGTTATCATAGATGATTTATTTCCCTAAAAGGGGCTGTAGAGGAGTTTAGATGGGTTGAGGAAGGAGAGCTAGGAGAATCAGAGTTGGAGGGGTGGGCACCCTTATGTGTGTTTGGTTATGCATATATATTAAACAGTGTATGTCCATCACAGAATGATTAGACATTGTATAAGCCAATAGAAAAATCTTGAAGAAACCAATATTAATGTTTTAAAAAAAAATGGGGGGCTCGGTGCCTGTGGCTCAAGTGGCTAAGGTGCCAGCCACATACACCAAAGGTGGCAAGTTCGAATCCAGCCCGGGCCCGCCAAACAACAATGACAGCTGCAACCAAAAAATAGCCAGGCATTGTGGTGGATGCCTGTGGTCCCAGCTACTTGGGAGGCTGAGGCAGGCGACTTGCTTGAGCCCAGGAGTTGGAGGTTGCTGTGACCTGTGATGTCACAGCACTCTACCCAGGGGACAGCTTGAGGCTCTGTTTCAAAAAAGAAAAATGAGGGCAGTACCCATAGCTCAGTGGGTAGGATGCGGCCACTTACACCGTGGTTGGCGTGTTCGAACCTGGCCAGGGCCAACTAAAACCACAATGACAACTGCAACAACAACAGCTGGGTGTTGTGGCAGGCGCCTGTAGTCTCAGCTACTGGGAGGCTGAGGCAAGAGAATTGCTTAAGCCCAAGTTTGAGGTTGCTGTGAGCTGTGACACTGCAGCACTTTACTGAGGGTGATGTAGTGAGACTCTCTCCTAAAAAGGAGGTGGGGGGGGGCTATTAGGCAGTGGAGCTCACGCCTGTAATCCTAGCATTCTGAAAAGCTGAGGTGGGTAGAGCTCAGGAGTTTGAGACCAGGCTGAGCAAGAGTGAGACCTGATTTTTACTGAAAAAAATAGAAGAAAACCAGACAGGTGGTGTGGTGGGCTCTGGTAGTCCCAGCTACTCAGGAGGCTAAGCAAGAAGATTGATTGCCTGAGCCCAGGAGATAAAGATTGCTGTGTATTATGGTGATGCCTCAGGACTCTGCCTAGTGCGACAGAGAGATTCTGTCTTCAAAAAAGGGTTTGGGGGGGGGGGCTGTTGTTTGAATTGATTTATAGCCAGCTTTTCCCATAATATACATAGACCAGGCTGGGCGCAGGGGCTCACACCTGTAATCCCAACACTTTGGAAGGCAAAGGCAGGAAGATCATTTTAGGCCAGGAGTTCTAGACCAGCCCAGGCAACATAATGAGATGCTGTCTCTAAAACTGAAAAAATTAGCCAGATATGGTGGTTTGTCTATAGTCCCAGCTACTGGGGAGGCTAAGGTGGGAGGATTGTTTGAGCCCAGTAGTTGAGGGTGCAGTGATCTGTCATTGTGCTGCTGCATTCTGGTCTGAGTGGCAGAGCAAAACCCTCCCTCTTGGCTCGGCGCCTGTGGCTCAAGCGGCTAAGGCGCCAGCCACGTACACCTAAGGTGGC